ATTGCTGCATGATTTAGACAGAGGAAATCCACATAATCCCACGTTTCCGTGGTATGAATCATTGTTGAACGTATCGAATTGCCTTTCGCGAGGTATTGGTCCCTCTAATTTGTTATCGGAAAGATTAAATATTTGAAGTTGATACAAATCTGCAGCTAGTTGCAATGGGATGTTTCCAAAAAGCTCGTTTGATGAGAGATCTAACCATTCAAGGTTGCTCAAGTTTCCCAAGGATGGTGGAATAAGACCGGATAGCTTGTTGTGAGAAAAATTAAGGCCTTTGAGTGAATTAAGCTTCCCGATCACTGTTGGAATCTCTCCTGTGAAGCTATTACTTGAGAAATCAATGGTTATGAATAGTTTTTTGTATTTTCACGAGCTCAATGTCGAATCCTTTTATAACCACTGCCACTGAATAATAGGACTTACCAACATCTCGTTCTCCCATGTATTCTAAGCGTTCTGAATAAGCGTCAATCATGGCTACGAAGTTCTCAAAATATTTTGCTGGCAAAGTACCAGTGAAATCATTGTTAGAGATGTCCATGATTCTCAACTTTCGAAAGGGAAATCTCACCTTGGGATTACTTAGAGGACCAGAAAGTTTGTTAGATCTCAATATAAGAACTTGAAGCTCTGGAAGAAATTCCAACCAATGGGGAAAGGACCCGTTCAGCTTGTTGTTCCCAACATCTAAAATTTCCAGCTCTTCACAATTGACTAAAGATTGAGGCAACGGCCCTTCCAACAAATTTCCGTTGAGGTTAAGATTCCTCAAGCTGTTTCCTTTTGCAAATGTTGGAGGAATCACTCCACGAAACTTATTCATTCGCAAATCTAAAACAGAGATTCTGCTAAAATTTCCAAAGCATGGTGGGATGTTCCCACTCAAGCTGTTGTTTGACAAATCAAGGACTTCAATTGAACCAAGGTTGCAAAACAAAGCAGATATCTCTCCAACCAATTGATTGTCTGAGATTGAAAATAGATAAGTTGACCTTGAAGGTGGTGGAATTGGCAGATGACCTTGAAGCCTGTTGGAGCTAAGGTCAATAACCCGTAGACTTTTCCATGGAATTTTCCCAATACGAGTTAAGAGGTTGTGAGAAATATTCAGATACGACAATGAATCCTTCCCAACGTTCCACAACCATTGGGGAACACTCCCATCAATTCTGTTGTTGGAAAGGTCCAAGATTTCTAAATTTTCCAAGCTTCTTAAAGAGTGTGGGAACCCAGTGATATTGCATGAAGACAATTCCATTGACCAAAGGGTATTGGGCAAAACGTATGTGACGGAGTTGATAGAATCCACTGATAGGCTATTAAAAGAAAGAGAAAGTCTT